TATGTTGTTTTGGATTATGGACTCTAACCCTTTTGTTACTATGTTTTATCAAGGTGACACCACTTATAGTCTATATTATGGATTAATCGAGTAGTTAGATATATGCTCCTCCATCCCACTAAATCACTTCGCCGAAAATTTTTCCGAAGCCATACCCGTCTTTAAGTCTTAGGTCATTAGAAAAAAAAATTAAAAAAAATTCGGCTCGCTAATCCTTGGAGTCTACCCATATATCTAAACCCTTATATGACACACTTAGGTCATTAGAAAGCTTTCGTGATCCTTTTTGCGAATGCACTTTTGCGTGAGTACTTTTATGCATGCTTTTGTACTTTTACTTATGTGCGTATATTTTGTAGCGAGTGTTTTTGTGCACGTTTCTTGATGCGCATTTGTGTCCTCGAACTGTAGCACGTATTTTCATGATTACTTTTGGAATCCAATTTTGACCATGTTCGAGTTTGAATTCGGAAATTTGACATTAGGCAGGAATTGAAGCCAGCTAAAATAGCTTTCTAATGCCGCCAGAACCAGTTGATTTGGAGTCCGGATGAGAAAGTTATACTCGACTTCGTGGACACTACCGAAGATGTTGAGGGATCCTCTCTTTTAATTTGATTTTATTTTCCTAATTGCAACTCTTTTCTTACTCTTTGATCATTTTTGCTTCATGGACACCTAATTATGAATTTGTACCTATAAGATATATAAATCCACCAATTAAAACAAAAATATAAATTAATCCATAAAAAAATCCACGTAAACGTAAACATTGAGTGTTATTTCTACACTCCACTATATCTTTTGTATTTAGTGTTTTTGCTATTGTTTGGTTATGCGTATTAAAGTCCTAGTGTTGTATTTAGTGTTTTAAAGAACGTTGTTGCGAATGTACTTTTGCGCATATTTTTTTACATGTACGTTTGTGCATGTCCATTTGAGCGAGTGAGTTTGTGCATGTTTGTTGATTTGTATTAATGTCCTAGGATTGTAGTTTGGGTTTTCGTGATCCTTTTTGTGAATGCACTTTTGCGTGAGTACTTTTGTGCATGCTTTTGTACTTTTACTTATGTGCGTATATTTTGTAGCGAGTGTTTTTGTGCACGTTTCTTGATTCGCAATCGTGTCCTCGAACTGCAGTACGTATTTTCATGATCGCTTTTGGAATCTAATTTTGACCATGTTCGAGTCTGCATTCGGAAATTTGACATTAGACACGAATTGTAGCCCACTTAAATAGCTTTCTATTGTTGTCGGAACCAGTTGATTTGGAGTCCGGATGAGAAAGTTATGCTCGACTTCGTGGAAACTACCGAAGATGTTGAGGGATCCTCTCTTCTAATTTGATTTTATTTTCCTAATTGCAACTCTTTTCTTACTCTTTGATCATTTTTGCATCATGGACACCTAATTATCAATATGTATCTATAAGATACTAAATCCGCCAATTAAAACAAAAATATAAATTAATCCATAAAAAAATCCAAGTAAACGTAAATGTTGAGTGTTATTTCTACACTCCACTGTATCTTTTGTATCTAGTGTTTTTGCTATTGTTTGGTTATGCGTATTAAAGTCCTAGTGTTGTATTTCATGTTTTTAAGAACGTTGTTGCGAATGCATTTTTGCGCATATTTTTTTACATGTACGTTTGTGCATGTCCATGTGAGCGAGTGTGTTTGTGCATGTTTGTTGATTTGTATTAATGTCCTAGGATTGTAGTTTGTGTTTTCGTGATCCTTTTTGCGAATGCACTTTTGCGTGAGTACTTTTGTGCATGCTTCTGTACTTTTACTTATGTGCAAATATTTTGTAGCGAGTTTTTTTGTGCACGTTTCTTGATGCGCATTCGTGTCCTCGAACTGTAGCACGTATTTTCATGATCGCTCTTCGAATCCTATTTTGACCATGTTCGAGTCCGAATTCGGAAATTTGACATTAGACAGGAATTGTAGCCAGCTAAAATAGCTTTCTAATGCCGCCAGAACCAGTTGATTTGGAGTCCGGCTGAGAAAGTTATGCTCGACTTCGTGGACACTACCGAAGATGTCGAGGGATCCTCTCTTATAATTTGATTTTATTTTCCTAATTGCAAATCTTTTCTTACTCTTTGATCATTTTTTCTTAATGGACACCTAATTATCAAGTTGTACCTATAAGATACTAAATCCACCAATTAAAACAGAAATATAAATTAATCCATAAAAAAATCCACGTAAACGTAAACGTTGAGTGTTATTTCTACACTCCACTGTATCTTTTGTATTTAGTGTTTTTGCTATTGTTTGGTTATGCGTATTAAAGTCCTAGTGTTGTATTTCGTGTTTTTAAGAACGTTGTTGCGAATGTACTTTTGCGCATGTTTTTTTACATGTACGTTTGTGCATGTCCAGTTGAGCGAGTGTGTTTATGCATGTTTGTTGATTTGTATTAATGTCCTAGGATTGTACTTTGTGTTTTCGTGATCCTTATTGCGAATGCACTTTTGCGTGAGTACTTATGTGTATGCTTTTGTACTTTTACATATGTGCGTATATTTTGTAGCAAGTGTTTTTGTGCACGTTTCTTGATGCGCATTCGTGTCCTCAAACTGTAGCACGTATTTTCATGATCGCTTTTGGAATCCAATTTTGACCATGTTCGACTCCGAATTTGGAAATATGACATTAGACAGGAATTGTAGCCAGATAAAATAGCTTTCTAATGCCGCAGGAACCAGTTGATTTGGAGTCCGTATGAGAAAGTTATGCTCGACTTCGTGGACACTACCAAAGATGTGGAGGGATCCTCTCTTCTAATTTGATTTTTTTTTCCTAATTGCAACTCTTTTCTTACTCTTTGATCATTTTTTCTTCTTGGACACCTAATTATCAATTTGTACCTATAAGATACTAAATACACCAATTAAAACAGAAATATAAATTAATCCATAAAAAAATCCACGTAAACGTAAACGTTGAGTGTTATTTCTACACTCCACTGTATGTTTTGTATTTAGTGTTTTTGCTATTGTTTGGTTATGCGTATTAAAGTCCTAGTGTTGTATTTCGTGTTTTTAAGAACGTTGTTGTGAATGTACTTTTGCGCATGTTTTTTTACATGTACGTTTGTGCATGTCCATTTGAGCGAGTGTGTTTGTGCATGTTTGTTGATTTGTATTAATGTCATAGAGATGGTAGTTTGTGTTTTCATGATCCTTTTTGCGAATGCACTTTTGCGTGAGTACTTCTGTGTATGCTTTTGTACTTTTACATATGTGCGTATATTTTGTAGCGAGTGTTTTTGTGCACGTTTCTTGATGCACATTCGTGTCCTCGTACTGTAGCACGTATTTTCATGATCGCTTTTGGAATCCAATTTTGACCATGTTCGAGTTCGAATTTTGAAATATGATATTAGACAGGGATTGTAGCCAGCTAAAATAGCTTTCTAATGCCGCCGGAACAAGTTGATTTGGAGTCCGGATGAGAAAGTTATGCTCGACTTCGTGGACACTACCGAAGATGTCGAGGGATCCTCTCATCTAATTTGAATTTATTTTCCTAATTGCAACTCTTTTTTTACTCTGTGATCATTTTTGCTTCATTCACACCTAATTATCAATTTGTACCTATAAGATACTAAATCCACCAATTAAAACAGAAATATAAATTAATCCATAAAAAAATCCACGTAAACGTAAACGTTGAGTGTTATTTCTACACTCCATTGTATCTTTTTTATTTAGTGTTTTTGCTATTGTTTGGTTATGCGTATTAGACTCCTAGTGTTGTATTTCGTGTTTTAAAGAACGTTGTTGCGAATGTACTTTTGCGCATGTTTTTTTACTTGTACGTTTGTGCATGTCTATTTGAGTGAGTGTGTTTGTGCATGTTTGTTGATTTGTATTAATGTCCTAGGATTGTAGTTTGTGTTTTCGTGATCCTTTTTGCGAAAGCACTTTTGCGTGAGTACTTTTGTGCATGCTTTTGTACTTTTACTCATGTGCGTATATTTTGTAGCGAGTGTTTTTGTGCACGTTTCTTAATGCACATTCGTGTCCTCGAATTGTAGCACGTATTTTCATGATCGCTTTTGGAATCTAATTTTGACCATGTTCGAGTCCGAATTTGGAAATATGACATTAGACAGGATTTGTAACCAACTAAAATAGCTTTCTAATGCCGTCGAAACCAGTTGATTTGGAGTCCGGATGAGAAAGTTGTGCTCGACTTCGTGGAAACTACCGAAGATGTTGAGGGATCCTCTCTTCTAATTTCATTTTATTGGTGTTGGTCAATTTTTGTTAGTGTTAGCCAATTTTTGACAGCTTCTATCTTACTCGGATCGAGAGAAATACCATTCTTGGACACGACATGCCCTAGGAATACAACTTGATCAAGCCAAAACTCGCACTTCTTAAATTTAGCATATAGTTGCCGTTCTTTCAATATTTGCAACACCACTCTCAAATGTTCTCTATGTTCGTCTTTATCATGGGAATAGATCAAGATATCATCAATGAACACAATCACAAATTTGTCTAGGAACTCCTTGAACACCCTATTCATCAAATCCATAAAAGCTGAGGGGGCATTTGTTAAGCCAAAGGGCATGACTAGAAATTCATAATGTCCGTACCTTGTTCTAAATGCAGTCTTTTGTATGTCATCCTCCTTTATTTTCAATTGATGATACCCGGAGCGTAAATCGATCTTCGAAAATATTGATGCTCCTTGCAATTGATCAAACAAATCATCTATTCTGGGCAGTGGATATTTGTTCTTGATTGTAAGTTTGTTCAGTTCTCTATAATCGATGCATAAACGTAATGTACCATCTTTCTTTTTCACAAACAAATTCGGTGCTCCCCAAGGAGAATAACTCGGCCGAATAAGACCTTTATGCAACAAGTCTTGTAGTTGAATCTTCAACTCTTTCAGTTCTGTTGGTGCCATTTTGTATGGAGCTTTAGAAATAGGAGTACTTCCGGGCAACGTATCAATAACAAATTCAATTTCTCAATCCGGTGGCAGTCCTGGTAAGTCATCTGGAAATACCTCAAGAAATTGATAAACCACATCCACATCTTGGGGTTGCAATTGTGTTCCTACTGAAGTGTCCATAACATTACCCAAGTATCCAACACAACCCTTACTCATCATCTTTTGAGCCTTCAATGCAGCTATAAATGGTATTGAAGATGAAAGTGAATGACCGCCAAACTCGAAATGTTCTTCACCCGGTGGCTGGAAGATGACAACCTTCCGATTACAATTAATGGTTGCATAATATTTTGTAAGCCAATCCATGCCCAAAATAGTCTCAAAATTTGCGACAGGTAAAACAACAAGATCCGCACAAAGTGTTCTACCACTTATCTGAATAGAACAATGTTTCAACATTTGGTTGGAATTCATCTCTTCCCTGATGGAGTCGTCACACTGTACGTCACATCCAACGTATCTGGTATAATGCCCAATCTCCTCACCAATGAATGTGATGCAAATGAATGAGTAGATCCTGAGTCTATTAATGCAAGTGTTGGAGTTCCTAAAATCAAAATAGTACCTGAGACAACGGATGCATCTACATCAGCTTGTTCTTTAGTCATTGCATACACTCTCGCTTGAACTTTGACTGGTGGGGTGCGACAATCCCTTGCAATATGCCCTGGCTTCTTACACCTAAAGCAACAATTTAAACCGCTATAGCATTCTCCAAAATGATTATTCCCACATGTGGCACACTTGGGCTTTTCAACTATAGTAGAACTTTGTACAACTCTAGGGCGCTTCTCATTTACTTGGCCTGATTTTTGCTCTGGTTTCTTCCATTGAGATTGAGTTCTTTGAGTAAAAGTTTGCCTCTTCTGTTGATGAAATTTCTGAATTTACTTCTCATCAAAGTCAGCCATTAATGCGTTGTCCACCACTTGTCGAAACTCGTTTGGAGAAGAGATCCTTACATCTTTTCTAATAACTGGGTTGAGGCCTCTCATGAAGTGATCCATCTTTTCTTTGTTATCTTTGGCTATGTAAGGTACATACTTGCAACCCTCCTCGAATTTTCGCACGTAGTCACACACGGACCTTTCATTCTGCTTCAATTCTAAGAACTCTTTTACTTTGAGTGACCGGACATCCCTCGTGAAATACTTGTCATAAAAGATTGTTTTGAATGCCTCCCATGTCAACTTCTCCATATCCACTGCAAGTTTTGTACCCTCCCACCAAGTTCTAGCTTCTTTCTTCAATGGGAAAATGGCACAAAGTACTTTCTCGGAATCTTCGATTCGCATGTAATCAAAGATGACATCTAGAGATTTTACCCATTCTTCCGCAACCATAGGATCAGACCCACCATAGAAATCAACCGGTTCCATTTTACGAAATTTCTCATACACGGTAAGAGAGTTATCGTGTCTAGCTTGTGGAGGAGGTTGTTGGTTTTGTTCATGGGTTCGCTGTTGCATATCGAACAATTTTTGTATCTGTTCGCCATCCATTCTAGTCTGTTGCTGAATCAAACCAGCTAAATTATCAACTAAGTTGTAGTCACCCTCGTGGTCGACATTCCCTGTCTTCCTTTTTGGTGTCATTACTTCCTATACATTGCCGAATCTCATCCCATTCATTAGCCAATACTAATGCACAATCATGACAATGGCATACATATGTTAAGATAATCAAACACATAGGTAAATAAGAAGAGAGTTAACCAAGCTTCCCAGCCAAAGTATGTTCATATGCCTTCTTCTATCTTCAGAAAAGATTTTAAACCTCTGCTCTGATACCACAAATGTAACGCCCCACAACCTAACAGCAGAATCCAATCGGATCACCACCATTAAGTTAGGGATGCTACCCTTTTATATATACACTTAAACATTATGGTTTTAATACAAAAATACGTTATATGCTTTGAAAAGAAATCAAACTTTGTACTTTCTCGAAATCTGTACAAATATATACATATTTATTGTTTACAAAATTATATTGTACAAAAACCATAATAGAGCGGCTAACAAAATGAAATCAGAGTTTCTAGCTCGGCTACAAAAATGGCTCGAAGCATGGCATATGAACAAATCTCTGTCTGGCCGCTCTTGGCTAGGTCAACTTCTAAACATGTACATCATTACCTGCATCATAAGAACCTAATGAGCTAATGGCTCAGCAAGTCGAAACTGATGTAATAACAATATATCACATAACACGACATAACACGTTATTCATTCAATATGTACAATATCACATATAACTTCATTCATGATCCTTTTCTTTGAAATCCTTCTCTTTATCGGGTACCCTTGAAGTGTGGTACTTGACTGATAGCAATAGACTTTGATTTTCGGAACCTGTTCATCATATTTGGCCAATAGATAATACGGGGGTTTCCATACCGGCCTTTTGACCTCAGGTATTAGCCGTATTTCATTTCTTTAATTGTGGGTTTTCCATACTGGTCTTTCGACCTCAGGTATTTGCCACCATGTGTTGGGTCCGCCGGTTCCTCCCGCGTCCCTTGCCTACTCGACTATCAATCCAGTACCATACTCCCATTTTCAAAACATATTCTATCATATCACTATGACTCATCAATCATTCAAACATCATGGAGAACACATAGCAAAAGTCACATTAAAACACACATAATTAGGTTCTTACGATGAACAAATGAAAGCTTCAACTTACCTCAAGTCCAATATGGTCTATGAAGTGAATAGATCAGTCTCATATAGATTGTGCTAGATTCCTTGATTATAGATTAATTCAAACTTCAAAACGTAGGATTTTCAGCTAGAAAAGGTGCAGAACTTGTTCTAGCACTACCTCTATGAGTTCTTATGATTGATGTTCTCTTATGTGAGTATGGAAGTGAAGAAATATCAAGAGAAGCTTAAGGAAATAGGTCTGGTCGGTTTTTGGAAGAAGACAAGTGAAATGAAGACCAAAACACAAAGTCTTCACTTATCTACCCATTCCCAACAAGGCCAAATGGAGGATGATGATTGGAAGGCTTATATTTGCTGGATTCTTGTAGTTCCTCCACGTTTTTCTAGCTTGAGATAAGATATGGGCTGATGCTTACTCATTATAATCAAGTGTAAACAATTTGAGAATGGTCTTGTGCAACCTAGTCAACCAACCAATCAAATTGCACCATTTTGCATACTTTTGGTTTTAGTCTAATATGAGTTACTTCAAGTAATTACATATGTAATTAATCATATTAAAATGTAATTGAAATGCAGAACTGCAATTAAAACAAATATATCAGCGTTTAGCACATTGATCCCTTCTTAACCGAGAAACTGAGCTTCTCACTACAATATATCACTTAAGTCTCATGTTAAATCATAAAATAGGAGTTCAATAACATGTATCATGTATCAGCACATTTTAACAAAAGTATTCGATCACGTATTAAAACACAATGAAGGCACATGTGTAGCAAGTAGTCGTGATCATGCATCATGAATGATGAATTATAACTACATGCATTGATGCAATATACTTATTATTGGCCATGTACGGATGATTGGGCATTACACTTTTGTACTTTTCACTACAACACAAATCATCATCCATAGCGTTTGAAAAACGCTATTGTAGGATTGCATAGCGTTTTTGAAAACGCTATGTCTGCCGGAGCTATAATAGGTCTCGATTTTGTTATAGCGTTTTTTCAAAGCTATTATATTTACACGTAATATAGCGTTTTTTATGTGCTATTGTATGGATTTGTACAACTATGATGAAACGCTATTGTAAAGATATGGTAACATTTTGTGCATGCTATTGTATGTCTTTTTGTAGCTTACGTCAAATGCTATTGTAACTCTACTATGGCTTGTCCTAAACGCTATTAAAGATGAGACAAAAAATAAATAAGCTGCTATAAATAATTTATTATAGAATTTTTTAATCGCTTTTATAAATTATTTAAACAACCTTTAATTAGTTTTTAGTTTTTAGTAATAGCATGCATATTGGGCATTCATTAATAATAATAAAAATTATAGAATACCAAGATGATACAGAATAAATAGTTGTCATTACAAATATCTCAACCAAATCGTCAATAGAACACAAAATCTAACATTAATCTTCTAGTATTCATACTCATTAATGAAAAAAGAACAAGACACTGTCGCAACAAAAAAACTAGTTCAGAGTCATCCTTGACTGCATCACCTGTTACCAAAGAAGAGGAGACCAAAAATTACTTAATTAACCTATATAAAATAAACTGACTCTAATATATATGTTGGAAAATAATACAACAAATGTAACATTTTACCGAGCTCTAAACCATAACAACTTTATTGTAACGGCGATGACAACTTCAATTAACTCCATCTCAGATGAAGACCTTCAAAGAGATGCGCATAATTTTGGAATTGTTCATATAGACCAAAAAACTAAAATGAATTACCTATCCCACTCTAATTAGTGGGGGGCAAAACAATTACAGAGATAATTTTTGATGGGCAATAATTCAGAAAATCATGATAGATAAAGAAATTTAAGATCATAAAAGCGGCAGAATATGTTATCACCCTGCTATAAATTTATATTTTTCATATAAACTGATCTCAAACATGATGGCAACACTGAGTTATGAGAAGGAGGGTGTTACCCGTTGAACTAGTTAATATTCACAGGGCATCAAAGCTTGCGGAAAGAAACCTAAACAAACAACTACTTCAATGTACTCTATCGTCTTTAATGATATTCCTGGCAAAAAAAATATGAAAATAAAAAGTAGCCACAATTCCAATTTTAAATTAAAAAAAAAAAAAAAAAAAAAAAAAAAAAAAAAAAAAAAACAACTCTACATAGAAAATTAAAGCTTGCGACCAAGAATTTTGAATATCAAATTTAGGAGATTCAATTCTACTTCTACATGACAAACCTCAGGGGATCAATAATCAGCATATTAAACTAGACAATGAAGATTAATTCCCAAAGTAAATACCTTTGTAATTGGAATTTATTTCGTCTTGCAAGTTCTAACAACTGAGATTGATATGTGCGGAAGTTAAAACTGCAAAGCAAGAAATAAGAAGTATCTATCAAACATCCAAATACATGCACACTGAGCTAACTAAGATAAAACTAAACTATAAAGTCAACTAGCACACATTACAACATTGCTATGTAAACAAGAAATAAGAAAAAAGAAAATTTGAGGAATAATCACAAATATAAGAATAAAAGAGTAAGCTAGACAAGAAATACAATCACTAGTATATTTGCAGTCCAAGAAAGATATAAACCCACAAGAAGTCTAATATCATAATAAATGAAAATTCAAACTTCATACGAGGATATAAGGCAATAACATTTTGAAAATAAAAAATACGTTTTATCTAATTAATCTTCAAATGCCATATAGAAATCGAAGATAACAATTTTTCCAATTACAGACTCGCATTCGTATATAGATATATACATGTAGTTAACAAATACAGACAAAGGGTAACAATTTCAACATACATAAAAAAGAAAAAAAGAAAAAAAATGAAGATGTCGGACTTGGAAGAAGGACATACTTTTGTTGGCGTCTCTTTCTATTGAAAATTGACAACAACCCAACAATTATAAACATAGAATCTGCAATAGTAAAGAGTAAATTAGTAAACTTAATTAGGGCCTTTTTAAAAAAAAAAAAAAACAAAGGAAAATTAGAAAAGCTAAGAGTGCGATTCCTTATTACGAGTGGAAATTGGAAGGAACCATCAAGATTGCGTCGGAAGATCGGTGCTGGATCGAGAGAGAAGATAATCTAGAAACAGACAATTTTGTGGCTTCCATGGAAATAGAATTCTCCGCGAGACACCTCTGATGACTGCATATGGCGAGAGAACCGTCGGAGAGATTCCGCATATGACTGAAAAGTGGAGATAACAGATGGACCGCCGGCGTTTTTATCTTGAAGAGAAACGGAGAAACAATGTTCTAAAATAAAGGGCTTTTTGACCATAGGAAATTGGGATAGGTGTATGAAGGAAATTTATTATATGCCTAAAATATGTGATGCTTTAGAGTTTCTAGCGGCCCACAAAAGTAAATCAATTTTATAGCGTTTCTATTAGTAATTAAGAGTATCGGAAAAACAATTATAGCACTCTTCGCAAAAGTGCTATAAAAATATGCTATTAAAAGTCATTTTTGTTGTAGTGTTTACTCATGTGCGTATATTTTGTAGCTGGTGTTTTTGTGCACGTTTCTTGATGCGCATTCGTGTCGTCGAACTGTAGCACGTATTTTCATGATCGCTTTTGGAATCCAATTTTGACCATGTTCGAGTCCGAATTTGGAAATATGACATGAGAAAGGAATTGTAGCCAGCTAAAATAGCTTTCTAATGCCGCCGGAACCAGTTGATTTGGAGTCCGGATGAGAAAGTTATGCTCGACTTCATGGAAACTACCGAAGATGTTGAGGGATCCTGTCTTCTAATTTGATTTTATTTTCCTAATTGCAACTCTTTTCTTACTCTTTGATCATTTTTTCTTCATGGACACCTAATTATCAACTTGTACCTATAAGATACTAAATCCACCATTAAAAATAGAAATATAAGATAATCCATAAAAAAATCAACGTAAGCGTAAACGTTGAGTGTTATTTCTACACTCCACTGTATGTTTTGTATTTACTGTTTTTGCTATTGTTTGGTTTTGCGTATTAAAATCCTAGTGTTGTATTTCGTGTTTTTAAGAACGTTGTTGCGAATGTACTTTTGCGCATATTTTTTTATATGTACGTTTGTGCATGTCCATTTGAGCGAGTGTGTTTGTGCATCTAAATTGATTTGTATTAATGTCCTTGGATTGTA